ATAAGGGAGAGAAATAGGAGAGTGAAATATTAATTAACTCCCGAGTGAGATGTCGAAATGACAATTAGGAATACTTAAAAATGGTAAAAAAAAAGAATGAGGTTGTAAACGTCCTTGGGAAGGACCAGATGGGAAAATTATATTCCTTAACTTTGTAAATTTCATATGATGGAGTTAAAGAATTTTAGGAACATATCCGTAATGTTATAAGACAAAGAAAAGATTGCCCTGTTTTTGACTTCGATGTAAAAGTAAAGACAAGACTGACAGTTTGTTGGGAATGAAATGAAATAATGAAGAGAAATAGTTGAGTGGAATATTAATTAACTCTCGAGAAAGATGCGAAATGACAATAAGGAATAGTTTTCTTTAAGGGCTCAGGTTTTAAATAGACTCTGGAAAGACCAGTTGGGGTAAATGAAACAGTTGTCGGACACCTCGAGGCGGTCTAATGGTTAGCAAGCTTGGCTCGCTAGAACAATGACGACTGAGTAGTGAGTTCGATCCTCACTGGGTGCCCCCTAATTTCGGCCTTGTGCCACATCTAAGCTGCGCTTGGAAAATCACTAAATGAAATAGTTGTGACCTCTACAGGGGGCGATGGATAAATTGTCGTTTAAATAATGCAAAAATTAAAAATATCACTGACATCTCATTTTAACAGATTTATTGACCAAAATTGCACAAAGATATCTTGACATAGAAGAGAGTGGACTTATTAAATAAAATCGCCATTGGCTTCAACCGAAACCTCCAGGCGACTTCGGAATCTACTACAACTCTTCTGTACGGTCACCCTGTTTAAACTGGCGAATGCTTCCATAATTATTGCCTTCAGTTCATCTTTGGTGTTACAAGGAGTTTTGTTGTACTCTCGCTCAACTGTGCCCTAATAATCAAGGGGGTTATGGCGAGCGAAGTTAGCTGCTCACATGTAAGGTGTGATGTAGTTGCAGAAATTGTCTGACAGACATGAATGAGTTCTTCTGCTTTTGTTTCAGGGTACAGAGTCCTGTTGCCAGACAGCGTCTTCCAGCAGCCACCCTCTTGACCGAGGGCAACACTACTTCCTCAACACACTTGATGTAGGCTTTTGTGTTGGGGCTGAGACCCTCACCAGCAAATTTGGTAGTTCTTTTCTTATCAGAACGATCAGAGTGAGTTTTCCGAGCTAATGTACGTTCGTAATCACCATTAAACTCATCCAACTCTTTCCGAATCCTTTGCAGAATCATAAGATTGACACCCAAACACACTGAAATGTTCTTGTGGTTTTCTGTGGGAATGCCAAGCAATGCAGTATGCTATTTCCAAATTTCTGCCGAAGTAAATTGTGTCATTGTGCTCTTTTTCTCACAGACGGTGCCCAAATGACCATATTATAGTGTGAAATCTACAAAATCAAAAACAAAGAACGCGCATGCACGAAATTAAAAATTAAAAACAGCAATAGTTTACTCATCGCACGCTGTATATACCAGAAATAATAATTATATTAGGTTGGTGCAAAAATAATGACGTAATAATGTCGTTTTTGACGTTACGTCAAAAAACGACATTATTACGTCATTATTTTTGCACCAATCTAATATATGCCTGGACTTTGGAAATTTTCACATGAGATGTAAGTAATTTTTGTGATACGAACGAACACTCGTTGCCACTTTTATAATGTCAACGAATACTCGTTGTCACTTTCGTAATGCTCGTTATAGTAGAGAGTTTGTAATCGCAGATACAACTATAGTAACGCAGATACAACTATAGTAAGACCGTTGAAGAATACTGTTGTCAGACACCTTCGAATATCACTCGCGCTGATAGTACTTGCTCGATAATACTCGCTCGATATAGTAACCAGAGTATAGTGATCCGAATAGAGAAATAGTATAGTGAATAGAGTAGACAATAGCGGTCCATATTGTAATAGAGGATAAAATAAAAATAACGATCCTTAGACGTCACGTGATTTCCTATATATGCGTTTCCTCTATTGTCACGTGGTCTACTTAATTCAATAATGAGATCGCCTGTGTTTGCTCACTGGCTAACTAAGTTCGAACTTTATTCCTATATCAGTAATATTATAAGACGAAGAGAAAGTTACGCAGTTTTGGTAGAGGCCTTGAATGTGAAGAAAAGAGGGGGAATTTAAAGGAGGAAAAAAAATGAAATCAGAAAGAGAAACAAGAGGAGCTTGCGGCCACCTCATGCTGAAACATCAGTTCTTGTACGATTACCGAACTTAAGCAACGTCAAACCTGGTCAGCACATAGATGGGTGACCGCTGGGAATTACCAGGTGCTGTAAGCCTGGATGTGTGGGTGATGCAATGGATAATGTATAGGTGGGGTAATGGATAAATGCACGGAATTTTTAATCAGTGAGCCGTGTTCCAATTCCTGTTGGGTTCGTTATATTCACTGACGCGCAAATACCGTTGGGAAAGGTGTTAATCAGCCGATTCTCCTCCAGCTATGGGTTAATTTGTAAGACTTGTATTTCTAAATAATTATTATCGCCTCCCACCACCCCCAAAAAATCCTACAATCTAAAAATATTTTCTGGCTTTAAATAACCTGGAAAAGGTTGATAAACCGTAGAAAACAAATCAACCAATTAAAAAAAAAAATGATAGAGAAAATATGTTTCAGCTCCCGAGAAAGATGCAAAATGGTAATTATAAAACTTCGTCTTTTGTATGCCGTGTCATTTCAGAATATGTCTGATCATGGCTCTCCACAAATTCCTGTTTTCGTTAAATTGGTCATTCGCTACTTTCCACTGTCGCCAATTAAAAAAATCAGTGAGTTAGGTCCCATGAGTGATACACGCTTAGGCGATCATGGATCTTTCGATATATGACAGACGCGGCAGATTTTTTCCCGCAGTAGGTTGCCATTTCTTTCTGCTATAGAACCAGCTCTGTTCTGTTATTTACCCATAGCTGCAGGAGGTGGGAGACGAAGAAGAGCATTCATAAGTTTCCCAAGGGTATTAGCACGTAAGTGAATGTAATGGATTTGACTGGAATTCGAACTCCGCTCTCCGATTCCTCAATCCGAGCCGATTCTTCTATAAAAGAAATGAGGATGTAAATTAGTTTGGTAAAAGTCAAAATGGGAAAAGTTAAGTAGTATAGTTTGGTCCGAATGTCTTGTCACCGCCGCACCCTGCTGCCAAAAGTAATGAGTACTATAGAAGAACAATAATTATACAGTAATACAAAGCACATGTACTGGAGTCAGTTTATTCACTTTCATTGACGAAATGAAATGAAGATCCTTTGTCATTTTGGTTTTGGGAATTCCTAGCTCGGAAGTCCATTTTCGTGGGGACTTGGGTGATCAGGCACAGTTGCCTCCACCTTTGCACATGGGTCCCTTCGCGTTGAGGGTCATGCTGTCCTTGGTTTGTTCTAAATTGATCCTGTGAGAAACAGTTTATGTTCCCATTCCAGTATCGTCCTCTTCGGAGGAGACGGTTTGCCGAATCTTGCACTGGAGTCATATCACACATCCTCCTTGCTCTTGTCAGAATACACACCATCATGTGTCCATACATTTGCAAACAGCCTCTCTTTCAAACTGTGTCAGCCATCTTAAATAGAAAATTATATAATATAGGGGTGACAAGTTCTTCACGCCATCTTGTACATGACAGTAGATAGGTTCCCCTATCGTTCGATTTACACTGATCCCCGGTCTTTTAAATAGTAGTAGAGATGGGATTCTTTTTTCTTGTTTAGGATTCGGTTTCTAGTTTCTTCTAAAGTCTTTTCATTGCCTTTTACTTCCAATAGCTCATTGCGTCTTAGTGGCATTATCGACTTGTTTGAAGTGAATTGTTTAAAAATAGCGCTGTAAAATATAAACACTAAAAATAAGAGAAATATATACTGCAAATTTGAACAAATAAATTCAGATGAAGACATCTGAGAAATCCTGGAATATACCAGTAGGCTTACAAGACAGACAGAAAACTCCGTCCTTTTTAATGGTCGACTTGAAACACAGCTGTATGCACAAGAATATAGTGAGATTAATTTTTAACAATTAGTATAAGAAAGAGAAATAACAGAACGAAATGTTAATACCAGAGAAAGACGTAAATTGAGAATTATAAATATATTTAAATGAAAAAAAAAATAATTAAATTTGATAAAAACATATTTGGAAAAGACCAAATGGGAAAACTGACTCCATAATTGTTGACAAATCCAGTACTATAAAAGATGTAACCACCATCAACAAAGTTAATCTAGCAATCGATTGCAGGGTTGGGGAAAGAATTCAAAATTAAATTAAACTTCAAAGTTAAGAGGAAAATATGATTTTCAAAAAATAAACAATTCCTAATAATGAATGAGAGAGAATCGCTAAATTTTAAGAACAGAATCAAGAACAGACGCCAGTCTTTGAGGAATAAAGAACATAGAAATTAAGATTTAGCAAATTGGTAACACTAATTAAAAGAAACAGCAGCCATTAGAGACAAAAATGAATGGAAATGGCGGTAATAAGGGGAGATAACTGAAAGTCAAAAAAAGCGACGGAAAAGGGGAAAAATTATAATCTGAAATACTAAGAGCCATGATTATGCGGAATTAAACAAATTAATAATTTTAAAAAAAAGTAACAGATAAAAGGAAAGAGTAGAAAAACCTAGCAGAAAAAGAAAGATAAGGAACCTGATATGCAGCCAACACGTTAAAAAAATATTGATTCATTTTCTACGGTCTATCGACTCTTTGCAGGTTATTTAAAACCAGGAAACATTATTAGAATGTAAGAATCTTTTTGTTTTTTTCAGATAGTAATGATTAAGCAATACAAGTCTAACTAATTAACCCATAGCTAGGGGAGAGAAGGGATTGATTCATACCTTTCCCAAGGTGATATGCAAGTATGTGAATGTAACAAACCCACCAGGAATTGAAACTCGGCTTTTCCAATTAACATTTCCGAGCCATTATCTATTACACCACCCGCACATGAAAGCTTACAGCATCTAGTATTTTCAAATGGTCACCCGTCTAGTTACTGACCGCGTTCGAAGTTGCTTAACGTCAGTGATCGTACGGGAACCGGTGTTTCTGCATGATGTGGTCGTAAGCCGAAACAGGAAACTGCTTCTTCCCTAGTAATGGTAATTCTAATGTTAATAATAGCCGATTCCGTTTCAGTAGTTGTTCTTGTTGAAAGGCCCGCAGGTGATGTGGTTTCCGTTATTTGGTACAGTTCTTTGTCGGGAGATTCTATAGCTACAGTACTAGAAGATCGATTAAGGATGTTCCTTGTTAAGACCTACAGGCTTTATTCGATGGAAGACCTGCTTAACTATTAATCTGATCAAGTGGTTGTATTCAGCTGACAGTTTAGGTATTTATGAACAGGTTTTTGTGCCATACATGCCATGTATATGCAAGTCTCAATCTGACACTTTTATTTAAGGTCAAGTTTTAGAATACGGTTTTGCCATTATAACCATTACAGGTTTTGAGCAAAACTTTCTCAATCACAGCCTATTTTATATAGAAATTCCTTATCTCCGGGAAGTTAAAAAGGGGATGTCACTAAATGTATACATATGTATAGCTGGCCACTCGTATTCTAGGATACCCTTTTACTAGGGCGTTCAGTCACACCCTATTACAGATGCTTGCTCAGGCATTTATGTTTATTCAAAACCTACAGGGCCCATCTGTTGTTTATACTGCAACTATGCTGAGCAGTCCTTAGTTACAGCTTCCGAGAAAGAGCGTTTTATCTTGCGTGATCAACGATTTGAATAAAACCAGCACGCTCAAGGCCTCGGCTACGATGACTTGTGACTTTTTGCTAGCACAGCTATCAAGGTTCTCCTCCCCAAGGGTTCCGCCTGTACAATTTCACTCACAAGTCTTGGGTCAACCAGTGGTGTGTTTTTTCAGGCACTTTCCAATGGTACCGCACCAAATGTATTCATCTTAAAAATAACGGAAGAATAACATATAAATCTCTAAAGCGAAAAGAGAAAGTTGCCTTCCAAAATCTAAGCAAAATACGATTGGGTCTGGAAAATGTCTTTAAAGAGTTGTGAATGCTAAGCAATCTCTTAAATTGAAAAAGAAGAGACTTGGAGCAATAGTGATGTGGTTCTATCAAGAAATCTGAAAAACGAGGAGGTTTTATAAAAAATGGGAATGAAAAGAACACTTGTATTTAGAAAGAGAAAGTTAATTTAGAAAGTAAAGGAAATATTAGATAATTTAGTCCAAGAGAAGACAGACCATTAACTAAGAAAAACTACAGTATTCTTGCACAGCCGAATGGTAGATTTGTAAATGTACACAATGAATTCTAACGAAAAAAACCTTTTGGCACGGCACAGTAAACCGACTTTCCTTGCAGTAGATGCAGCTATTGATTCAATGGGGTTGTTCAAATCTGTTGAAAACGTGAGGCCAAGAAAGCTCAGTGAAACGCTTTCCAAGAGTTGAGCATCAGCCATGGAAAAGCTATGATAATTAATAGAGAGCAGGTTCGTTTTGGAGTCATTAAAATTTACAAGACATTACCTGCCCCAGTTAACCACTGATTGGAGGCCCTTTTCAAGAGCTCTGACGGATTTGCTATTGAGACAGGAGTAAATGGCAGTGTCATTAGCATAAATGCCTGCATGGGAACTGATGACACCAGAAAGATTGTTGATGAAAATCAGAAACAGCGTAAGACCCAAGATAGAGCATTGAGGATATCCGCATTTGAGTCAAAGGATCTGGAAGCTTGCTCGTTCAGAACGACAGTCATTTTACGATTTGATAGGAGTGATTGAATTAAATGAAACAATCGCCTTGCAATACCATATCCCTGAAGCTTACGTAGAAGACCAGCATGCCAAACCCTGTCAAAAGCCTTTGAGACATCTAGAACCACAGCTCGAGCTTTGCCGTTATTATCAAGAGGTTGATATACATATTCAGCGGTAGACCGGGCAAAAAGGAAGCCATATTGTTTGTCAGAGAGTAGGTCGTGAGAAGTAAGTTGCTTGACCACATCAACATTGATTAAAGCCTCGAATACTGTGGGAGACTAATAGGGCGATTGTTAGAGAGGTCAGAAGTTTCTCTAGAATTCTTAAAAACTGGACTACAGAGGAGGACTTCCAACAGGATGAAAAACAGGAATCACCGAGGCAATAGTTGTAGATAGAACAGGAGCCAGCTCGGGAACACATTTCTTTAGGATGACGGATGAGATCCCGTTACATGCCCTTGCCTTATAAGAGTTTAATTTAGAATCTATGTCCGAGACTAGTTGCGGTGTTATGCGCATGTCACTCAGTAGAGCATCAGTTCTATGGGGAAATCACGTGGGAGTATTTCAGATGAGAAGAGTATTTCCGAGCAAAGTATTCTGCTTTATCTCCTGTAGATGTCAGAACATAAAATTGATTGAATAGAGGAGGGGGTGAGAATTTGCTGTTGTTCAGCACACACTTTCAGAGCCGTCAAGAATCTCTAGAAACGAAGTTGAAGTTATTCTATCAGCAAAGAGTAAATTCCCTTCATAGAGGACACGCTTGCCCTCGTTAGGAGCAGAGACAAAGAGAGGTCTGTTGCAATCACACGTGACGCTCTGGTACCACCAATAGAATTGATTCCTGCGGCCGAGTATGCAGTTGAGAACCAACGAGATGAACGCTGTTTAATTTTGTATTTTCTTGCTGGAATGGAAGCATCGATGCCGCCTTTAACCCGGGGGAGATCTCAAACTCGTATTTTTGAACAGGATGATTTAAAATTCCAAAGGACATCACGAAGCAAATCAGGGAATGAGTCCCAACCTGCTCGTTGATAACAGAAAGGTATCTTGATAGGAGGTTCTTGGCTGATGGGGGAACAGAAAGAGATATACAGACACTACTGCAGGATCAGAGTTGCCAAGATGCCAACGCTGCATAGTACGGCAAGAGTTAGGAACAGAGGTAAAAAATAGATCAAGAAAAGAAGCATGTCCCTCAGGCTTATTGGGGAAACGCGTGGGGAAATAAACGACTTGCGCGAGAGATTGAGTGATTGAGAAGTTAAAGGTTGGATGTCAGAAAACATTGTCTTTGCATTTTAACCTTGAAGATGATCTTGGAAAAGATCGAAAGTACTTCGTTTATCAAAAGCTACGTGGCCTTCTTTGAGGAATTTAATCTTGATATCAATAAACTGGAAAAAATCAATATAAAAATAAATAGGCTCAATATGTCTATATTATTCAATGAAACATGAGTGTATGAAGATATATGCTAAATGCCTAAATATATATATATATATATATATATATATATATATATATATATATATATATATATATATATATATATATATATATATATATATATATATATATATATATGGTGACAATATAGTCATTATAAATTTACTTATAATAAAAAAAGCAAAGTATTGAAGCATGTGGCTTGAAGTTCGAACAATATCAGTAATTAATTTATATTGTTTACGATACAATTTTATTGTTATTAACCAGAACCATTTTAATAATAAATTTCTGGACTGTTGATTAATCCCTTTGTCTTAATTATTATTGTAAGTAATGGTATAGTGACTTTATTGCCACCTTATATATATATATATATATATATATATATATATATACTACTTGCTAGATTAATTACGACTGAGTAGTGAGTTCCATCCTCACAGGTGACCCATACTTTTCGGCCTTGTGTCACATCTTAGCTACGCTTGGAAAATCACGACACACACACACACACACACACACACACATATATATATATATATATATATATATAATGTAAATTTAAATTCAACATATATATAATTTTAGTATTTAAATTACAAATACGAGACAAACATTTTTGATTTGAAAAAGAAGTCAATTTTCTCCTTATTTGACAACGGCTTTGGAGAAATAACTTTATCAGGCGGGATGCCAACGACAATTAGCAGAAAAGAAGTTTAGAATAATAAAAAACGATTTTCTGCCGACATTGCTGATTTTATTTAGAACGGTTGTCGCCGTTCGTTGTTTATGCATTGTTTTAGCCAATTATCCTGAAGCTTACTGAAACGTTGGAGTCAGTCTAGACAAACCCTATTTAAAAAAAAAGAAAAATATGAAGCAAAAACAAATTATCGCTGATTTCCAGTCTTACTCTATAACTTCTACCTTTCTCTCTTTCTGTCCCTTAAACTGAAAGGAATATAAAATTGTTCAACATGATATCGTCTGTTTGGTTTTTATACAAAACAGTTCAATTTTATAAAATTGCGCAATTTGAACCGGTATTTTAAGTAACATTTTATTTTCCTCTATTTTTATTTTCTGTGCAGCTGTATAACTAAATCAGACGGCCAAACTATGCCATTAGTGTACTGGATTAAAAGGTTAGTTCGTGAATTTGGTAGCGTAGCAATTGTGATTTCAGTCCTTGGTCTGGGTTGTACAAACTTAGATTCAGTGGAAACAGAGCAAGCAACCGCTAGGACGTACAAGAAAAATGAAGAAACAATACAAGATATCTCGAGACATGAATCAGCGGAAAGAAAATAAGTTAGTCTCAAGGAGTTCATTCGAAAATTCCATGTAGGTAACCTACTTGACACACGAAGGAGAGAATATAGTGATTTTCCAAGCAAAGCCGAAAGTATGGGGAACCCAGTGAGAATCGAACTCACAACTCAGTCGTAATTTTTCTAGCAAGACCAGCTTGCTAACCATTACACCACCCCAGAATATAGTGATTACATAAGTTTTAATGGAATTTATATAAACAAGGACTAAATCAGAGCTTAAAGCTCTCCGTATTCGTGCCATGCCGTATCGTCTGTGTTGTGTGGCTGATTTTTAAAAATATATCAGCCATTTTGTTGGTTATTTAAAGTAGAAACATTCTATCTTTTGATGAATTTCCAAGTCTATGGTAACAAGCTCGAACACTATGCGAGTCTATTTCGTTACTTTCAAAAACAGTGCATTTACAATATACATTTTTAGAAACAACTTAGGCCAATAATGATTATGACAATGGTAACGGCGATATTAATTGTTTCTTTATAAGGAAACATTTCGTATTCATTGATCGAACAGTTAATGCC